TGGCACCGGGTATTCACAAGCGGTCACCCAACTAAGCACTGATTAGGCTCGACGTTGCTTAACTTAGGCGATCGTACGGGGACCGTTGTTTTCAACGTTATATGGCCGTAAGATGCAGATTTTTTTTCAATTATTTCAAGGTCCCTGCGCTGTGGATTATGAAATTCTTTCATGTAATCTGTGAAATACAAGCCTGGAATTTTAGACATTCTTCATTTTTATTTCTCGTTGTGATAGGATTCTGACATTAAAGTTAGCATTTCTGGTTTCAATGTCTTGGATAAGTTCTGTAATAATCATATTTTGCCATTCTAAAGATTCCTATATAGAAGATGTGGGCAAAATCTATGCTGTTGATTTGTTATTACATGATCTAATTCTTTGAGTTGCATCAATTATGTCAGGCGATAATCCGACAAATCTGGAAATCTCACTTATTTCTGGAAATATGGAATTGGTTCTGTCGAAAGGGAAATTGCGGCTGCGCTAGAAAAGAAAAACACAACATATGTCATCTGCATCAATATTTGTATTTTTTATAATTATATTATAGTCTCTACTTGTGTATCGAGCACAGTTTTTTAAAAATAAAAATACTAAAGAACTTCGGATTATTAACCTAACGTTTCTTTCTTATTTTTCAACACACACACACACACACACATGTATATATATATATATATATATATATATATATATATATATATATATATATATAGATAGATAGATAGATAGATAGATAGATAGATATAAACACCAGAATTAGCTTGGATATGACCTTGACAGAAGAATAAAAATGAAAAAGAGTTCTAAGAGTCATTGAAAAAATAATAGAATCAATCGTCAAACATATACTTTGGCAAACTTTTTCAACGAATGCCAAAAATTTTTGTTGCAGTAATCAAGGTTAAAGGAGGATATTTTAACGTGAGAAAATTTAATCATAAAATGCTTTTCTTTTTGTCATAATAAAAATTTCTAATGAAATATCATGTCTGACTATTTTAACCTTGCCTAATAATTTTCTCTTATTTAAAATAGAAAACTTCTCATTGAACCAATTTGTAAAATTAGCAGGTGTGGTCTCAAAGGTTTAAACTTTAGTGAATATATATATATATATATATATATATATATATATATATATATATATATATATATATTAATTTTAAAAATGGACAAAAGTCAAACAATTTATTTAAATGCTCTGTTTTTATTTAAAATTATTTTTAAAGATACAAGTATTTTACTTAAATACTTGTATTTATAAAAGAACGTTAAACATAAAAATGTCTTTTAATAAATAAATTGTCGGAGTTTTGTCCATTTTTTAATATATGACGTCATTTGTTTACATTTGATACGCCAGAGCAGTTCTGAATGTCACGAGATTCATGGAAGATTGAAGTTTATAAGCAGTAAATTGACCTTTTGCCTACCGAACGCTCCTTTTTGGCCGAGTCGGTTAAGGCATCGTCAGCGTAAATGACGGTTCCGTATAGGATGCAGTTTCGAATCCTGTTAAAGGACGAATATTTTCTATGAAAATTTCTCGGACATTCATAATGGGTAAATGTTATTTAATACTGTTTATTATAAACAGAGCATTTACTTAAATACTTGTATCTATAAAAAAGAACGTTAAACATAAAAATGTCTTTAATAAATATATATATATATATGGGTGGTGTGTATGCATGTATGTACGTATATAATTTGTTGTATATTTGGTATATTTATGGAGGAAGAATGCTGTGTATTTTTGATGAAAATGTTTTAGATATGGACAATGGGGACATAAGAATCTGTACAATATAGTGATTACCAATTTTATGCCTCAAGTAATCCAAGTCGAAAGATCGTTTGCGTACAGTAACCACGCACTTTTGATTCTTATGTTCATACACACACATACACACACGTACATTATATATATATATATATATATATATATATATATATATATATGGAGAGAGAGAGGAAGAGAAAAAGAAAGAGAAGAAGAAAAGAAGTAGAAAAAGTAAAAGAAGGAAAAAAAGAGTTGTCGACATAGAAATCATTATTACACGGTGTCTGTAAATTTTATGGCTTAATGAGATATTCAGATTATCACAAGATTAAGCATAAAGTATGAAGATTGTATTAATGCGTCAAAATGACGGTCACCGTAAGATATTTCTTCCTATATCCACATTATCTACATGCAAATCCTCTCTCTCTCTCTCTCTCTCTCTCTCTCTATATATCTATCTGTATATATATATATATATATATATATATATATACAAGTTTATTAAAAAAGAATGAACCGATTGCATGACGAAATATTTTACTAACGAAAAGGAATAGAAAACACCGGCCAAGTCATAAGGATACTACTCACAATCAAATTTTATTTCCTGTCTTACAAGTCTTCAATGTGGCCACCACCTGCATCACGGGCAACATCAATGCGATAAGAGAATTCCTTTCAGATGCGTATCAGCATAGCATGGTCCACTGAGTTGAACGCTGTTGTTATTCGATGTTTAAATTTATCGAGGTTAGTGCGTAACGGTGGAACATAAACGCCATCTTTTATGTACCCCCACAAGAAAAAATCAAACACTGTGAGGTCTGGGGATCTAGAAAGCAGAAAGAGCGAGGTCTTGGTAAGTACCCAATCGCGGCGTAGTCTATAAGATTTAAAATGTAGCCGTCTTAGCACACACCACATAGTGTATTGAGCGATTGCAAGGTCCCGGCTAACTCTATTTGTGGACTGCCGTGTACCCACTTCAAAGGCGGCATCGATTCTCGCCACTTGTTCTTCCGAAACTCGTGATCGTCATGGACTTTTTCCTTGACACAGACACCCACTCTCTTTAAACTGTTTAAACCACCGCCGAACAGTCTTAAAAGTGGGCTGAAATGTCCAATTACCTTCAAAAAGCACGCTGCATCGTGACAACCGTATTTCTTTTGGCGAAGTCAGGAACACAGAAGGGCTTTTACTGAGGACCCGCCATTCCGGGGGTAAAGAAACAATTGAACGTTGCCGGAGATATGACCCGACTACAGCACCAATTTGGCAGCCATTCAAAACTTTAAAAACGCCTCTATCAAATGGCCACTGACGCATTTCTTGACGATGCTTGAGAACTGATAGCGTCATGAAATGGTTACATTTTTAATAACCTGTATATATATATATATATATATATATATATATATATATATATATATATATATATGCATGTATCGGGTGTGATGGGTAAATTGTTGCCATCTTCTATTTTAAATTTCGCGCAGGAGCGTTGTTTGATTTTGTCGACTACAGAGCTGGGTCATTTGGGTACCGTTTATTGAGCACCATGAGGCAATTCCCTCTGCCAGAAATTTGGGAACAGCATGCTTTACTGCTTGGCATTCGCGCCGGTAGCTCCTATACGAACATTTCAGAGTGTTTGGGTGTCAATCTGAGGACAGTGCAAAGTATTCGGAAACATTTGGATGATATATCTAGTCAACATCATGGGATTTAGAGTGATCAGTAGAGATGGCGATGTTATCTTCAAAAATGCAAATGTATTGTCAATCGTTATTTTCTGTTTTCTCAATTCTTATCTGTTATTGTCCTCTCTCATATTCTATAACCTCTTGCGTCCTAGTGGCTTTATTGCTTTGCTTGGGGTGAAATGAGTTAGAAATTATCTGTAAAAATAGGATATGCATAAAGACAAAAAGGACAACCTCTTAGTTACCGACGCGTTTTGTTTTCTAATAGACTTTATCATATCAAGAGAAACGTAAGGATTTTATGTGGCAACAAAAAGTATACATACACTGCGTGCCAAATTATTATCGAGATAACATTTTTTCTAATATTTCAAAAACTGTCCAATCAATTCACACGAAATTCTCATACCATGTTGGCAACACTGACTTGCGCAATCACTGAAATTTTCGTACTGATCTGCGCAATGTAAACAAACTGGCGCCATATTTGTTATCAGCGTGCCAAATTATTAAAAAAGAGTAAGAATTTAGTGAAAAGTTGGGCCGTAAAAGCAGTTTAAGTGATGCTGAAAACAAAACTATCACCTCAGAACTCTCAAATGGTAAATCTACCCTAGAAATTCTAAAATGATAGGGAGTTGTCATCAAACACTAAAAAAGTTCACTGCTGACCCTACACAAGTACGCAAAAGGGCAGATAAAGTCAAGCCGAGGGTTATTTCACGTCTTCTTATGTCACGACTTAAACGGGAGGCCACGAAGAACCCTGGACTTACCAGCCAAGAGCTTTTCAGTCGCATTGGGGATCCTACTGTGTCTAAAAGTACTCGGTGTCGATATTTGAGGGAAATAGCAACAACAGTCCAACTTGTATCGAAGCCTCCGTTGACGTGAAATCACATTCAAAATCAACTGAAATGGGCCAAGGACAATATGAAGATTGATTTCTCTAAAGTTTTGTTCACAGACGAAACTCGAGCAACACTTGATGGGCCAGATAGATGGTGCAAAGGCTGGGTAATGAACGGACAGAATCGCCATCAGCGTTTGAGACGCCAACAAGGCGGTGGAGGCATAATGATCTGGGGTGGTATTATTGGAAAAACATTAGTGAGCACATGGAGAGTACTAGATGGCGTCAAAATGACTGCTGATGCATACATAGCATTTATGAAGGAGCATCTTGAACCGTGGATGAAAAGGCAAAGAGTTGCCTTCGGAAGGGCCGTTGTTTTTATGCAAGATAATGCTCTCTCACATGCTCCTCACAAGACTACTGAATATTTGAAACAGTTAGGCTTCGATGGAACGCGAAAAATGAAGTGGCCAGCAAATTCTCCAGATTTACCCAATCGAAAACCTTTAGAGCATCATGAAGCCAAGACTGTACGCCAACGGACGACAATTTCGAAGCAATTCTTGACATATCTCGCAGCATTACAGCAGATGACATCCTACAATTAACAAATTCTATGGATCGTCGACTTCTTCAAGTAATTTCAAAACAGGGAAAGCACATTCCCTATTAATTTGTTTAAAACTGTGCCTTTGTTTGTATCTGTTATTACTTGTTTGATTATCTTATTTATTAGCTTCATTTGATCATAAACATTCACGTGCAACATTAATAAACGTTTTGTTTGCTCAATTCTGGGAATTTTACTAAACCTTTTTAATAATTTGGCACGCTCAAGTCACTGTGCTGATAACAAATATGGCGCCAGTTTGTTTACATTGCACAGATCAGTACGAAAATTTCAGTGATTCCACAGGTCAGTGTTGGCAACATTGTGTGAAACTTTTGTGTGAATTGATTGGACGGTTTTTGAAATATCAGAAAAATGTTATCTCGATAATAATTTGTCACGCAGTATATATATATATATATATATATATATATATATATATATATATATATATATATATATATATATATATATGAATTTTACACAAACACGCACAACTACATATAAACTGTCGTCTATAATATATATATATATATATATATATATATATATATATTAGACGCGTGTAAAAAATTCATATATGTCAAATATACCTAACATCGGATATGGCTGTCACATCTGGTCTGGTGCTCCTGCTATATATTTAGAGATTCTTGATAACAGGCAAAGAACAATCCACAGTGTTTTTGTTCCTGACCTGGCACCGCGGATTCAGTTACTCCCTTCTTCTTCTGTAACGTAGAGAGTCCTTATATCTTTTCTATGAATAATTTCATGCAAATTGTTCTGATGTACTTTCCTTTTTGGTTCCTAGATTTTATGAATTTAATCACAATACTTGATTGGCGGTAAGGTGTCATCATTTTACAATTAAAATGAATAGATTAAACCGTAAGTTCTATGCGAATAGTTTCTTCTATTGCACTTTCGGCTTCAGGAACTCTCTTCTGGTTTCTTCCTCTGCAGTCAACTTTGATCTTCAAAACTTTAAATGCAATACCAATCTTTATCTAATGTCTCCTTAACTTGTGCTCTTTTATTGTCCTCTTTCCTCATATTCTCTAACACCCAATTCGTTTTAGTGGCTTTATTGTCTTGCTTGGAGAGAAATGATTCAGACAATATATGAAAAATGGAAATAGGAATTAAAACAAAGGTAAAATCTGTTCGTTAACGACGCGTTTCCTTCTCTGCTGGACTTTATCATATCAAGGGAAATGTATTTTATTCAGAAACAATGTGCATATATATATATATATATATATATATATATATATATATATATATATATATATAAGCAGATGAGAGGCAATAATTCTGTTATAAATCGTACATAGGACTGATATAAATACAGCTGCGTCTTATCAGATAGAAAAGAAAAGGAAGGAAAAAAATGAAAGACAAAGAACTGGAGAAATGGAGTTTCATATCGGAATTTTCCATCCTGTTAGGACAATCCGGAAGCGGAAAGAAGCGTAATGTTATTTTTCTTCACACGGCCGCACTTTTCCGATTGGCAAAACCTTATCTCTTAAAACAATGTGTAAGGAAAGATTCGAAAACGTAGAAGCAATGTATAACGACTTTTAGAAGACAAAGAAAGAACAGATGATCCGTCAATTTTTAGCCGATGGACTTACTTTACCATTAAATACGTTTTTAGTAGTAATGAACGATAATACTTAGGACATGAACAACACACATAAGATTCGCCAGCGGCGCGTAGAAGTGAATCAAGTGAATTCTACAATTAATCTCCAATTGCAGGATGTCTACCAACCGCTCTACGTGGTCAGAGGTGGCACAAGAGCGAATTTAATGTGGGGTATCCGATCACGTAGTCTCGGTCAAAAATTCCCAGTAGACCCCGTATAAAATGGGTTCGGGTAGCTGCTTCCCGAGATGAGATTCTGCCCTTCGACATTGCCTTGTCTAGGCATCCTCTCCGCCCGGAGGCAGAGAGTTTGACCAGCACAGCTGGAGACGAATCTCTAACTGCAGGATATCTACAAACCATCCCACGCGGTCAGATGTGGCACAAGGCCTAATTTAATGTGGGGTATCCGAGCCCGTAGGCTCGGCCAAAAATTCAACGCAGACCCTGTATAAATAGGGGTCGGGTAGCTTTTTCCCTCTCTGCACTTCGACATAACTTCGTCTGGGAATCCTCTCTGCCTGGAGTCAGAGAATTTGACCGACTAAAAATATAGTATTTATGTGAATGGGGACATACCCATTATTGTCTGTAGGTATGCTACAACAGGAAAATGATCTTACACACATACAATCTTACACACATGCACACGCAGAATCTTACGTATATAAATATATATATATATATATATATATATATAAATATATATATGTGTGTGTGTGTGTGTGTGTGTATGTGTGTGTGTGTGTGTGTGTGTGATGAAATATGTCAAATTAATAAATAAAAATCCATTAATTCTTTGGAAATTGCTTTAAGTTTTGGATACAAAACTGAGCAGATATAACTTTCAAATATATTTGAATCAGGAATCTGATGTTAACCTCAGCTTCCACTTTTTTATTTACTCACGCTCTATTCGTTATATTGAGCACTTTTACCAATAAAAAAACAACAACTTTAAAACTATGTTTTTTATTATAAAGGCTGTTCTAATAACTTGGACCGATTTTAAATGTGGATTAAGTTTAAGCGTCTAATGATTTTTTTTCTTTTTCTTTCAGATTTAACAACTTAAGCCTTTAGCAATTTCAACCATGGAAAGATTAACAATCAAACAACGTGTTAGAGTTATCGAAGCCTATTACGAATATGGACGTCCAAACAGAAATGCTTTTTGCACACTTTGCGATTTCATTGGTCGACCAACTAAGACCGCAATTAAAAACGATGTAACATTGTTGTGGAGAGGTTCAGTTCCTGAGCACGATGACCAATTCAGGTGTTTGGATTTTCGGCCACATTCTCGTGCAATGCAGCAACGTTTTCAGCTGAACGGCGTAAACGAGCAGGCAGTGGTGTTTTCACATCTGCCACCGACCCAGTTTGTTTGAATTTACGAATAATTTTTCCAGTTGCACTCTTGAAACTTTAACACGTTGTTTGAGTGTTAATCTTTCTATGATTAAAATTTCCAGACTTAAATCTGAAAGAAAAAGAAGCAAATCATTAGACGCTTAAACTTAATTCACATTTAAAGATCTTATTTCTTTTTTTTTTTATCAGACATCCTATTATAAGAAATGGACAAAGTCCGACAATTATTTTTAAGATATTTTTATCTTTATACGTTCTTTTTATAGATAAAAATATTTCAGTAAATGCTCTGTTTATAATAAACAGTATTAACGACATTTAACGGCCTGAATGTCCGAGAAATTTTCATAAGGACACATGGCTCAGTGAATAAAGGCGTTATAAAGGCGTTGGTTAGATCCAGTGACAGGACCCAAAGAGTGTGAGTTCAATACGCGGTCAAGTCAGTGGAGAACTTTCAGAGGGAAATTAACAGGAGATAACTGATAACTGATATCCATTAAACGTGGAACTAGAACAGTCTACCCCAGTAAGCGAAATAAAGGGTTCAGTTCGACATTCCAACCACCTGAAGAAGGCCGGAGCGTGCAATGGCCGAAACGTTGTAATAAATATGGCGACAAAATGAGGACAATAGTGTAAATAATGCTCTCTCTCTTTATCTTTTATCCATCTTCGCCTCTTTTTCTTCCTTTTCTCTCTCTATGTCTAATTTAATGTTGTTTTCTTTCTTTTTTTCAACGTTTTCACAGTCTACCATCCTTTGATCTATTTTCTTTTCTTTCTTTTCTTCTTTTTACCTCCCATCGTTTTTGCTTTCTATCTTCCTTTTCTTTTTCTCTCATTCTCTTCTCATACTCTTTCCTTTCTATTTCTTCCGATCTTCTGTCTTTTTTTTTTCTTTCTTACTCTCTGATCCCTTTCTTCCTCTCTGATTTCCTAAAAAGGAAAAATGTAAGGGTATAAGCCTTGAAACTTTCACTTTTCACCCTCTCCCCATACGTCAAAAATTCTCTTTCTTCTTCTTCTTCTTCTTCTTCTTCTTCTTCTTCTTTTCTTTTCTTTCTTTCTTTCTTCCTTCTCTATTTCTCTCCACTCTTTCCTTAAGCTTTCCTCTAACCATTCCTCTTCTATTTACGCACGCAATTACTTTCTCTCTCTTACTATTTTCTTGTCTTTCCCTATCCTCTTCCTTTCTTTCCTTCTTTTTCTTCTTTTTTTATCCCCCCTTCTTCTTCCCTGTTTTATTTCCAGTCTGTTTCCTCTTTGTATATCTTTTATTGTAAATTCCAAATCTTACTTCTCCTTTTTTTTATTCCTAACTCTCTGTTTCCTTTCTAAGCATTTCTCGCTTTTTTATATCTTGTTTTGCTTTCATTTTTGCATTTTACTCTCCCTCTCTCTCTCCCTTCCCCTCTCTCCCCACTCTCTCTTTCCATTCTTCTCTCCCACTCTCTCCCTCCTTCACTCTTCCCCTCTCTCACTCTCTCTAGTAATGTTCAATAATTTGTAGCTACATGTTCGCCTATCGATCTCTGTCAATGCAAACATATCTGTTTTTACATACTGATCAATTTTTGATCAATATTTTACAAACGAGCACACAAAGGCATATCAATACATTGACATCTAATCCTATTTCATCAGATGAAAGTATATTTTACGTTTTAAGAGCCGTTTCCTTGCTGTTGTTGTTTTCTTAATCGGCTTATAAATTTTCTGCTCTACAAGTAGGCTGAAAATAAATCTTCACTTCTCATGGAACGTTCTTCTTATCAATGACATGAGGCCCAGGTTCGAATCTCGCCAGGAAATTGGGTTCGCAAGCCGTCGCGGGTTGAGCTAGCGTGAAGTCATAAGTCATCAGGACCGAGGGACTGAGCTTTGTTCGACCTTCTAATCATGACACATTATGCGCTCTCTCCCAGAAACTGTAACTAAGGTCTGCTCAGCATAGTTGCAGCAGAACCAAAAATGCGATCTCCGTGACTCCCTCTCCGTGGATGGG